TTTCACAGAGCTACAAACTGGACGCTAACCAGTCAGATTTCAGGAGTGGTTATTCAACTGAGACTGCGCTACTGTCAGTGACGGAAGCCTTGCGGATGGCAAAAGCTGACTCCAAATCATCAGTTCTTGTTTGCTGGATCTATCTGCTGCTTTTGACACTGTCAATCACCAGATCCTCCTGTCTGCCCTCTCATCACTGGGCATCACAGGGATTCCTCTTCGCTGGTTTGAATCCTATCTCACTGGTAGGTCTTTCAGGGTGGCCTGGGGAGGGGAGGTATCCAAAGCACATCAACTGGTCACTGGGGTTCCTCAGGGATCAGTTCTTGGACCCCTCCTCTTCTCCATTTACACTACATCACTGGGTCCGATCATACAAGCACATGGCTTCTCCTACCATTGCTATGCTGATGACACACAGCTTTATCTTTCATTTCAACCAGATGATCCAATGGTAGCTGCACGGATCTCAGGCTGCCTGGCGGACATCTCGGCATGGATGAAAGAATATCACCTACAGCTCAACCTGGCAAAGACTGAGCTTCTTGTCTTCCCTGCCACTCCAACTCTACAGCATGGTTTCACCATCCAGCTAGGTTCTTTTACAATTACCCCATCAACTTCGGTCAGAAATCTTGGTGTAATCTTCGATGACCAGCTGACCTTCAAAGACCACATTGCAAAGAATGCTTGATTTTGCAGGTTTGCATTGCACAAAATCAGAAAGATCAGGCCCTTTCTAACGGAGCATGCTGCACAACTTCTTGTCCAGGCCCTTGTCATTTCTAGGCTGGACTACTGCAATGCTCTTCTGGCTGGACTTCCATCAAGCACAATCAAACCTCTACAAATGATTCAGAATGCAGCAGCACGACTGGTCTTCAATGAGCCCAAAAGAGCCCATGTTACACCTCTCCTTATCTCCTTGCACTGGCTACCGGTTGCGGCTCGAATCAAGTTCAAGACATTGATGCTTGCATATAGAACAGCCACAGGCTCAGCACCCGCCTACTTCCACTCACTACTACGAATCTACATCCCCTCCAGAAGTCTGAGATCCGCTAGTGAGCGACGCCTCGTGGTACCATCACAGAGAGGCTCAAAATCACTTTCCAGAACATTCTCATTCACCGTTCCTGGCTGGTGGAATGATCTTCCCACCCCTATCCGGAATGCTGAATCCCTGACCATTTTCAAGCGACAGCTGAAAACTCATCTCTTTCGAAGCTACTTGACTTCATCATAAAAAATAAAAAATCCTTCTCTTTAATTATTCCTTCTCTTTCTAGCTTGTACTTATTTGAACAATGCCTAAAACTTGGTATTACAAGCACTTCCTGTATCTGTTTGCCTCTTTTAAGAAGAATCGCTTTATGTATCCCCCAATTGTAAGTCGCTTTGGATAAAAGCGTCGGCAAAATGACTAAATGTAAATGTTTTATTACATGCAGAGTTTTTTGTTCCGATAATCAACATCTCAGTTTTTTTTTCTTTTCACAATTTAGCATTTGAAAATTACTAGTCATCACATTTTTTTATATCAGCTATGCCTTCCGTTAGTTTTGTGAATTATTAAAGGTCCTAGTACTGAGCCTTGTGGCACTCCATACTGTACTTGTGATTGATATGATACCTCTTCGTGCACTGCTACGACTTGATGACGGTTAGATAAGTATGATTTGAACCATGCCAGTGCAATTTCACGAAATGCCAACATAACTACCTAGTATATTCAAAAGAATGTTGTGGTCAAATGCAGCACTAAGATATTAGTGTTCACTAGTGTTCTGCAAAATCAATCAAATTCCCATCATCCACACAGAATCCATGAGAAAGCACAAGGTCAAGCGTGTGCCCATTGTCATTGGTGGGCTGCTTCACATATTGAGTCAAATTAAAAGAGTCTAAAAGTTTAACAATTCAGTAGT